GGAGTGTTCACTTACTCCCAGAAAAAAACACTTCAAACCCTTGTCATCAAGCTTCTTTCTCTTTTCATCTGGAATATGTGCATATGCTATGCACCCAAACACTTTAAAATGATCCACTGCTGGCTTCCGTCCTCCCCAAGCTTCCTCGGGTGTCTTATTCTTAACTGAAAAAGTAGGACACCTGTTCAAAATATGAGTGGACCACATAACAGCTTCAGGCCAAAAACGTTTTGGAACTCCTCCTTTAGCAAGCAGACTTCTAACCATGTTGAGAATAGTCCGATTCTTTCTCTCAGATACACCGTTTTGTTGCGGTGTATAGGAAGCTGTGAGTTGCCTACGAATGCCATGCTTATCACAAAAAACATCGAACTCTTTTGAGCAATACTCTCCTCCACGATCAGTTCTAAGGATCTTAATCCTCTTTCCGGTTTCAGTTTCTACAGATGCTTTGAAGGTTCTAAATGCATTAAAAGCTTCTGATTTTTCCTGCAAAATATATACCCATGCCTTTCTACTAAAATCATCAATGAAAGAAATAAAATATTTCTTTTTACCATTTGACATTGGGTTAATTGGGCCACATATGTCTGAGTGCACCAAGTCCAGCAAGTTCTGAGCTCTCCATGCCTTTCCTTTTGGAAATGGGTCGCGATGTTGCTTTCCAACTATGCACTCTTCACAGACCTTGGATGGAGTTGTGATCATGGGGAGGCCTGTCACCATCTGCTTTTGATATAGTGTCCTCAAGCCATTAAAATTAAGGTGCCCAAATCGATAATGCCACAGCCATGATGGATCATCTTCCTTGGCAACTAAACAAGCTTTAACAGTCTCAATTTTTAGTGGGAATAGCAGGTTTGAGCTCATATGTATGACAGCAATGCTGCCTCTTACAGGATCATATATCTCACAAGAACCATCCTGTATAGTGATGATATATCCCTTCTTTTGCAATTGCCCAACACTTAACAGATTAGTTTTCAAATCAGGCACATAAAACACGCTGGAAATTGTTTCAGTAAAACCATTTTTAGTTTTTATTTGAATATCTCCTTTCCCCATCACATTTAATTTAGAACAGTCACCAAAACTGATAGTGGTACGAAAATCTTCATTTAAGGATGAGAAAGAGGACTTACAGCCACTCATATGATTACTACACCCTGTGTCAACGTACCAGGTATCAAATCCAGGTTCTTTATTGGCATGAAATGCCATTAAAAGTGTTTCTTCTTCCCTTCTCTCAACAAAGTTTGATTTTTCTCCTTCTCCTTTATCTTTCGGCAGCTTCGTATAGCATTCATTGCTATAATGACCATAGTTGTGACAGCGATAACACTGGATATTCATCTTATCAGTATGTTTATAACTACCTTTTCCTTTGGCTTGAGAGCTCGGCGATGAACGATCTTCGTGCCTGAAATTCTGTTGATGTCTACCTCCATTGTGGTTGCCTCGACCTCCTCTTCCTCGTCCTCTACCACCTCTACCCCTGCCTCTTCCTCTGTAGCTTGAAAAATCATTAAAGGTAGAGGCTTTCAAAGCTTGTTCTTCAGATGTATTATTGTCAGTGGTGCTGCGATTCAGCTTCTGCTCATGCACCAGTAAAGAGCTTTGCAACTCATCGATTGACATTGTGTCAATATCATGAGATTCTTCAATGGAACACACAATATAGTCGAATTTGGGAGCCATAGATCTCAATATTTTCTCTACAACAGCACCATCTTCAATCTTCTCACCATGAATCCTCATCTTATTTGCAATCCCCGTAACTCGTCCAAAATAATCAGAGACCGACTCTCCGTTTTTCATTTGGAGAGTCTCAAAATCTCTCCTCATTGCTTGAAGATGTGCACGCTTTACTCTTGCTGAGCCTTGAAACTTCTTCTTCATAGAATCCCATATATTTTTTGATGTATTTTTCTGGAGAATAGTCTCTAGAACTTCACGATCGATTGATTGAAAAAGAAAATTCTTTGCCTTGAAATCTTTCAAACGCGATTCCTCAATTTTTGCTTTCTGGGCATCTGTCAATGCTTGATACGCTGCCTCTGTAGGTGCTGTAAAACCCTTATCAACAACCTCCCAAAGCTCTTTAGATCTGAAGAAATTCTCCATTAGCATACTCCAATGATCGTAGTGACCATCAAAGTGAGGAATTGCTGGTTGGATAAAAGAGGCTTTCTCTGTGGCCATTTGTCGAACAATTTCTACTCCTATACTCTCAGTATTTGTTTATCAGTTATCACCTCTGCAGAGGCTCTGATACCAGATGTGAAGATGAGAAAGAAGAGAGTAATTTCACGCACACACTAAAGAGATTCATTCATTACTTAAATAGATAACAGCAGCAACAATTCAGTTAACAATTCAGTTAACAATTCAGTTAACAATCCACTAACAACCCACTAAAGAGATAAACTCCTAATAACTATTAACTACCCGATACCTACTAAATATCTTAACAGATACATGTAAACTATGAAAAGAAATCACATCCTGACATGAAACCAGAAACGATTTTCAAACTGGCTACAACTAACAAATGCAATTAATCTTTAGTTGCTTGTTATGGGTGATAAACAGCCCAAATCTCCAAATAAACTCACAAAAATCATAAAACTTGGTTAAAAAAAATAACTCCAGCCACCCATTTTCTTCAAAGAAACCTCACGTCACGATGTGTGGTCCTGATTTTGGTGGGATAAATATGTGGAAACAATAGAAAAGGGAGGGACCATAATGCATTCACAGCGAAAGGGAATTTCCCACTGTACGTAGTCACATTTGGATAAACAGAGCTAAAGTTGGCGAATAAAGTCCTTATCAAATTTGAGACATGTTTACGTCTCTGATTCAAATGTAGACTGGTGAACACGCCAGCAGCTGAGGGTGTAGCAGGTGATGGTTCATTAAAGGAGTTTCAGCATATATAAAAGGATTTGTGCAGTCCATTCAAGCCAAATATGTGATAAAATGCTTCTTAATCCTATCATCCTTCAACTTAATACACAATCCATTTAAAGTCCTTGCATTCCTTATATTTGTAAGTCATGAGCAAACCTCTACGACAGAGCAAAGAGAGGAAGAAACACAAAATAAAAAAATTAGTCAAGTTTCTGAATCATGGGCAACAGTTGCAAATATCCCATGATCCCATAACCCCATCAACCTCTACGGCAGGCGTCACCTCAACCAAACAGGGCAACCTCTCGACCACCAGCAGCACCGATTCCGGCCAGTCAACGGACAGCACAGCCACAAGCCCCCATGGTCAAATTCTCGAGGCCCCCATTCCCAAGATCTTCACCTTCGCTGAGCTAAGAAGCGCAACGAAGAATTTCAAGCCTGAAGCTGTTCTTGGCGAGGGAGGATTCGGGAGAGTTTACAAAGGATGGGTCGATGAAAGGACTCTGAGTCCAACCAAGTGTGGGCTTGGCATGGTGATTGCTGTGAAAAAACTCAAGCCTGAGAGTGTTCAAGGGTTCGAGCAGTGGCAGGTTCGTAATTTCTTGATGGTTGGGCGTTAAAGTAATACGTTGTACACGTAAGGATTTGTGTCTAATTGTGGCGCGTTTTTGGGTTTCTGCAGCCGCTATATCCAAGAGTCTTGGGGCATGAAGGAGTTGAGCACCTCTAAATCCTGTGTTTTCAAATCTATAGTATTTGATTTGCTTCAAAAAAAAACTATGGCATTAATTTGATGTGTTTTTGGAAATTATCATACTTATAAGGTTAATTGTGTATAAAAAAAAACTATGGCATTAATTTGATGTGTTTTTGGAAATTATCATACTTATAAGGTTAATTGTGTATAAACCCTCTGGTTTCTTTTCCTTTCTTTTTTTTTGGTAAATAGATCCCAGAGTAAAACTTTTTTGGCTCCTTATATCCTTTTTGGAAAGTAATCAGATCCAATCTAGAATTAATGACCCTCCAACGGATACTAAGAATTAATTTTAACCCAAAAGGTATAATTGGATCCAATCTAGAATTAATGACCCTCCAACGGATACTAAGAATTAATTTTAACCCAAAAGGTATAATTGTTAGTCCCAACTTCTATTTTAAATTCATCACTCTTTCTAAACTATGCTTACACTACAAAAGACACAAAAACGTAGATTTTCTTCATGAATCATCAATTTTGAAGAATAATTTAAAATAATTTTGAGAGACGCCTATTATAGGACCTAGATTAAGGGATGACATGTAAGGAATTAGGGGTGAATTTAGGGGATTCAAATTCTCTCCGATTATATGGTTAATTTGAGAGAATCCAATTATCCTAATTCTTATCGTTTATTCCAACCTCAAGGAATGAGATGATGACCACGTAGAATTGAAGAAATTTTCAACGTAGACCCAATTCCATATTTAATCCTTAAAACCGACCCACTTTAAATTTATTTATGAGAATCGACCCACTTTGAGTTAATTACGGTACTAATCGGGGTTGCCAACCCCGAATAATTAGTAGCCTAATTACAAGCGGGGCCAGGGAGCAAGAAAGGTTTGCGGCTGCTAATTAGTATCGCAATTGACTCAAAGTGGATCGATTCTCATAAATAGCTTTAAATTGGGTTGGTTTTAGGGATTAAATATGGGAAAGGGTCTACAGTGAAAATTTATTCACGTGGAATTTCCACCACTGCCCAATTATATCACGTCCAGACGTATGAATGATGAACTTGTTGTGCGCAGCGGAAATTTCGGCAGCACTTCGACAGCACAACAAGAGAGATTAGATCGATAAGAATTCTCGTCTCACAAAGAAAACAAGAATCTGAAGAGGATATCTCAACCAAGTGAGATATCGGCTCTTCCTCTCATCAGTTCTAGGACTGACCTGTCGAGGGATCCTACAAGCTATTATAAATTACGACAAGAACACAACTTTTACGTGGTTCGGCAAATAGCCTACGTCCACGGGGCAAGGAGGGGAAGATCTACTATTAGAGGGAGAGATACAATTAGGGTTTACAATCTCACAATCTAAACCCTCTCAAACAAACTCTCAAATCCCTCTTACAAAATAAACTCTCTCAAAAAAGCACAAAAAGAACTCTGCAGCCGCAAAGCATCCAAGACCAAAAGCTTCTTGCACCTGTAGCCGTCAACAAAAACTCCGTGTCCACTTGCTTGCATGCACTCAGCCGCAACTCCCAAAATTTCCGAAGTTGTTCTTTTGCCCAAGCCTTGCACTTTTCTTCTGCAGCCGCCGCCAAAAGAAAAAAACAAACAAATCAACCTCCAGCACCAAACCCTAGGCAATGTGTGCGGTGTGCTTTTATAACCACGAATGACTTCGGGTGAGCCCCAATACCCGCATTCACACTAATGCCCGCTGGACTCAAGCTTGGGTATTGGGCCTTCATGCACGTGGGTGGACCCCACACCACGTTCACAGGACTGACTTCATTTACATTCAATCCAGCGTGATCGAAAGCGTCGGCGACGGCGTCGACGACCTCAGCGTAGGAGAGGTAGTCATTCCGAGCTGCCTAGGCGAATGCGGCGGCTGCAGAAACTGCAACTCAGGCAAAACCAACTTCTGCCTCGACTATCCGGTCACCTTAGACGGCCTGATGCCGGACTCGACTTCAAGAATGTCAGTAAGAGGGGAGAAGCTCTACCATCTCTTCAGCTGCTCAACCTTCACCGAGTTCGCCGTCGTCGACGTAAATTACGTCGTCAGGGTCGGCCCGAGGCTCCAGCCTGAGCACGCCAGTTTTCTGTCCTGTGGGTTTACTACAGTTGCAAATATCCCATGATCCCATAACCCCATCAACCTCTACGGCAGGCGTCACCTCAACCAAACAGGGCAACCTCTCGACCACCAGCAGCACCGATTCCGGACAGTCAACGGACAGCACAGCCACAAGCCCCCATGGTCAAATTCTCGAGGCCCCCATTCCCAAGATCTTCACCTTCGCTGAGCTAAGAAGCGCAACGAAGAATTTCAAGCCTGAAGCTGTTCTTGGCGAGGGAGGATTCGGGAGAGTTTACAAAGGATGGGTCGACGAAAGGACTCTGAGTCCAACCAAGTGTGGGCATGGCATGGTGGTTGCTGAGAAAAAACTCAAGCCTGAGAGTGTTCAGGGGTTCGAGCAGTGGCAGGTTCGTAATTTCTTGATGGTTGGTTAAGTATGTTGTTGTTAATTTTGTTGACGTAGTTAATTTGGGGTTTAATTTTACAGGCGGAGGTGGATTTTCTGGGGACGGTTTCACACCCGAATCTGGTGAAGCTCTTGGGTTATTGTTGCGAGGCAAGAGGGAGCTTAGAGAATCGTCTCTTTAGAAGTGAGTTTAATTAAACTTATTCTTAATTCCATTAATCTCAATCAATTATTACATATTTTGGATCGTATGAGCCTGTGATTCACTAGCTCGTGTACCCATTTATCTTAACAAAAGCTTTGCATATCATTTTAATTAAGATATTTGAAGAGCAATAACAAATTAACGTGCAGCGAGGTAGGATAGCTTTGTTGTTTGGAAATGTACCTACTGAAATTAATTTAATTAATACTAGCTACTTTGCTCACGTTTTCATTACGCTTCTTGATTATGTTTTATAAAATTCATAATATGGTATTAATTAACTGAGAATATATATGCTACTAATTTTTACAACAAAGGTTACTCGCCTTCAGAAAGATAATTAAGAATCTTGTTTTGCCTTCGCTATCATTTTTTTTTCTCGCTATTTAGATAGGTTTTTTTTTACTTCAATTATCTGCATTTGCTAGGTCAAAATTCTCTTTAGCTTCTTTAATCTTGGTTCCATTTCTGTTTAATCTAGTATTAGAAGTATTTCTGAATTGCTCAAACTCTCATTACGAGAAAAAAATAAAATATGGCATACAGGTTGGTTGTTAATACCGAAATTAGTCAACTAAAACATGAAGAAAAAAAATGAATTGTACGTGTAGGTTGTTAATACTGAAATTAGTCAACTAATACGTTAAAAAACGAATTGTTTTTTGAGTTGAAATTATTTGTTCAAATCAAAATGCATAAGAAACAAACATTTAAAATAATCAAGCAAATGGAGGCTTTCTCTAGCATGATGCCAATCGAAGTATTATTTAGGGGATTTGAAGGGCGCATAACATAAAATCTAATGGAAATCCTGGAGTACTTTTCCAAGTCTCAACTGTTGATCGACTAGTTCAAATGAACGATGAAGGCAAATTTATGGACATAAAACTAAAATTATATGAAAATTCCGTATTACCATGGACTAGAGTTATATAGTTTTTTTGAAATTTTTTAGATTAAATGTTCAGTGCATTAAAGTAATTAAGTAGTTACACTGAATTTCGTGTAGTTTTTACTGTTTTCAATATTATTGCGCGCACTTATTGGACTATTTAAACACCCTTAGGACTTCTTTCATGTTATTCTCTATAATGTTGATGGTAGTAATTTGTGGTCCTACAAGTACTACCAAAAATGGCTCGACAGCTCTTCGCGTCACTCGACTTCACCGCGCTTCCATTTGTCCTTTCATCATTTTTAGCCGACACAAAAAGTACTACAGCTTTCAATTTGGATTCAACTGGAGAATGGCACAAGTAAATATACATTCCTTTCCCGTTTATTGGTGAATTATTTGAGTTCAATTATAAAACATTCATGGATCCAATTCCATTAAATGTTCTGATTTACATAAACAAGTAATTGCGTTCTTTATTGCTTTTTTGTTTTAATTTTGACATCCTTTGGGTTAACCTTTGGCAGTTGGCTCCCTTTCCTTAATACGAGCGCCTGTTGTGATGCGTGTGCAAATTTGAAGGGAGCATTATATTCTTAGTTGCTGTGGTAAGTTCTCGTGCTATCTTTTGATATTCCCACTCTATAATGAATAGTTTTCTATGTCTCATTCATACTTTAGGATATAACTTTAAACTAGTGTATGTGTAACAAAGGACTTGTGTTATAACAAAGGAAAGAGAGAACAATTTAAAATCAACCATGTGTATGAGTGTAGGCCTACATCAGTACGTGTGCATGTGTTGTCATGCATGCTTAACGCTTGAACTTCAGAAGCAAGGATACAATAATATGTCATACCTAATTCTAGTCACTCCTTAGCTGGTCATTCAGCAAAATGAACTACTTCCACATATTTTCCTTGCAGTCCTCATCAATTTAGTCTTCTTGATCTGTAGTTTGTTTTAGCAAATATTTTTGGTATACACATTTTCATAAGGCTCTTGGTGCAACCCAATTCTTGTACAATCCAATTCTTATTCTATGAAATATTAGTGCTCTTGGTTATCCGGCCTGGTTAAAAAAATGAAGTGGCAGGTCTTGTCCCCTGAATCGAAGTCTCGAAAGATTGACATTTCAAATCCCTTGTACTAATTTGTGATAAACATGAAGCTCATGGCTGACTGATTTCTGTTCTGTAACTGTAGTAAGTACTAATTCTTCGTTGACTTGCAGGTTTTTCTCCTCTTATCCATGCTGGTTACATTAATCGTCGCAAAAGAAGTCCCTCTGCATGTCTAGTATCCCTGGCAAAGGTGAAGAAGAGCACAGAGCAGAGTTCCTCGATATCTTCAGAAGTATCAAAAACTTGCCTCCTGGAATGCCTTCAGTACTTCTCATCACCGGTCTTACTTGGGTGTGTAATTTATGTTTTTTTAATCTTTAAAGAAGTTAGCATAATTGAACTCAAATAATTCACCAATAAACGGGAAAGAAATGATCACAGGTCAGAGAGCGCTCGATCTCAACCGTCCAAGCGGACAACATAATGTAGTACACTGGGCCAAGCCTTATTTAGTGGGCCGTTGACAGCTCACTCAGATCGTCGACCCCCTCAGCTCCACGGCCAGTGCAAACCTATGGCTACTAGTCAAGCGGCTCAATTGATTCTCAAATGTGTGGCCCAAAATCCCAAAAGCCGGCCATCGATGAACGATGTAGTTGAGAGTCTTGAGAATATTGAAGCCACTCAGAAAATTGTAGCCCGACCCAATAGAATGCCAAGCATTTGGGTGAATATTGTTGAATATTGGTACCGTAGTGCTTCAAATAATTAGTGGGTCATTTTTTTTAGCTGCTATTTTTCTGTTTTTTAGTGGGTCCTTTAGTCTTTAATTACTTGGTCAGCATTTTCATTTATGAGTCCTTTAGTCCTTTAGTCTTTATTTAGTGGGTCTTTTAGTCAAATAATTAGTGGGTCATTTTTTTTGGCTGCTATTTTTGGCTGTTATTTTATTTGGCTGCTATTTTTAGCTATTTTCAGTATTGGTGTAAGCCTTATTTTTTGCTGAGCTATTTTTCTGTTTTTTCTCAGCAACCACCATGCCATGCCCACACTTGGTTGGACTCAGAGTCCTTTCATCGACCCATCCTTTGTAAACTCTCCCGAATCCTCCCTCGCCAAGAACAGTTTCAGGCTTGAAATTCTTCGTTGCGCTTCTTAGCTCAGCGAAGGTGAAGATCTTGGGAATGGGGGCCTCGAGAATTTGACCATGGGGGCTTGTGGCTGTGCTGTCCGTTGACTGGCCGGAATCGGTGCTGCTGGTGGTCGATAGGTTGCCCTGTTTGGTTGAGGTGACGCCTGCCGTAGAGGTTGATGGAGTTATGGATTTCATGGGATATTTACAATTGTTGCCCATGATTCAGAAACTTGACTAATTTTTTTTTATTTTGTGTTTCTTCCTCTCTTTGCTCTGTCGTAGAGGTTTGCTCATGACTTACAAATATAAGGAATGTAAGGACTTTAAAATGGATTGTGTATTAAGTTGAAGGATGATAGGATTAAGAAGCATTTTATCACATATTTGGCTTGAATGGACTGCACAAATCCTTTTATATATGCTGAAACTCCTTTAATGAACATGTTATTGTCTAACCATCACCTGCTACACCCTCTGTGAATTCGGGTGGGGTCTACCACGTGAATGAGACGCGTGAGGATTGTGCAAAGATGGAAGTGAGGCCTGTGAATTCGGGTGGGGTCTACCACGTGAATGAGACGCGTGAGGATTGTGCAAAGATGGAAGTGAGGCCCACCCGAATTAGTTTGTGCACCTATATAATGTGTCTCTAGGGTTTTGGGAAACGTGTGCCAAGGAGGTTGATCGCTGGTGTTTTTTGCTGCTGGGAAAAAGCAAAGAAGCGGCTGGAAAAAAAAAACCGCAGAAGCATGAGGTGTTTTCAGCAGCCGTCAAGAGAGTTCTGAGCATCTTTTGTAGAGAGAGTTTGTGTGAGAGGTTTGAGAGTTTTGTGTGAGGGTTTTATTTGTTGGATTCTTGTGTAAACCCTATTTGTATTCTCTCCCTCTAATAGTAGATCTCTCCCCTCCTTGCCCCGTGGACGTAGGCAATTTGCCGAACCACGTTAATATTGGTTGTACTGCTTTTGTGTGATTTGTAATAGCTTTTAGGGTCCCTCGACGCGCAGTCCTAGAGCTGACGAGAGGAAGAGCTAATATCCTACTTTGATAGGATATAGGCTTCAGATTCTTGTTCCCTTTGAGAAACAAGAATTCTTATTGCGACCTAACTCTTGTTGTGCTGCCGAAGTGCTGCCGAAATTTCCGCTGCGCGCAACAAGTGGTATCAGAGCCCAGATTTCAGATCTAGGGTTTTTTGGTGGAGGAAGATTTTTTGTGTGAAGCTTGGTTCTTGGAGTTCTCGGCTTCGGTGGAGATAGCATTAGGAGTTGCCGTTAGAGATTTCGCTTTCCTCGTGTGGATAGGAGATCTATTTGGAATCCGATCTAGGGTTCAGTTGGGTGGTTCCTAATTCTATCAAATTTGTTCTTTCTCTACAATTTGGAGTTAGTTCGCAATGGGAGAAGAAGGTGAAAGCAGCAAATCGATGGCGGGTACAATACAAGTTGGTTTTCAAAACACCAAAATTAGTGTGGTGAAATATGACGGAAAAATCAACTTTGGTTTGTGGATGAGCGACGTACAGGATGCGTTAAATGCTCAGAATTTGGAAGAGACCATCATGGTCCACGAGAGGCCACCTAAATATGAAGAGGCGGTATGGGAGAAAATGAATAGGAACGCTTGTGGGGTGATCAGGTCCTGTTTGGAACAGGAGCTGAAATATGATGTGATTGGGGTGACGTCTGCAATGAAGATGTGGGAAATTCTCAACAATAAGTACCTTACGAAGAGTGTTGAGAACCGATTGCACTTGCTGCGTAGGTTATTCAGATTCCAGATGTCCAGAGGCACCTCGCTTGCGGCTCATGTGAACAACTATACGAAGTTGTTGTCGGACTTGGCGAATGTTGATGAGAAGATATCGGATGAGTACAAGGCGATTATTTTGTTGGGCTCCTTACCGGATGAGGAGTATGATACCTTCGTGCTCACTTTGTTGAACGGGAGATCTTCTATCAGCTATAGTGAAGTGACTAACGCTTTGACGAACTACGATTTGAGGAGGAAGGATAAGGAGACTTCCCGCGCTAGTACTTCAGGAGAGGCCTTGTCGACAAGAGGTAGAAGCCCATATCCGAAAGGTGGTAACAGAGGGAGGTCAAAGTCTAGAGGCCGTCACCAACTAACAAAGAACCAATGTGCATTCTGCAAGGAGCAGGGACATTGGAAGAGAGACTGCCCGAAGCTCAAGGAGAAAGAGAATGGCAAGAAAAAGGGCCCGAAGGCCAATGAGGTGAACATTGCGAAAGGCGATGATTCCGATGATTCGTGCTTTTCTCTACTGATTACTCCGGAGGTGAACCATGTGGATGCATCAGATTGGATGCTTGATTCCGGCGCTACCTTTCATGTGACCCCTAGGCGAGACTGGTTTGCATCTTTTGAGAAAGTCGACGGGGGCGTTGTTGTCATGGGAAATGATCAATCCTGTGGCGTTTGTGGGATAGGTACCGTGCGGATTAGGATGCACGATGGAGTAGTCCGTGAGTTGAAGGAGGTGAGATTTGTTCCTCAACTGAAGAAAAATCTTATCTCAGTTGGAGCTTTGGAGGCGAAGGGATTCAAGGTGACTTTCGAAAACGCTGTAGCGAAGGTTACTAAGGGATCATTGGTGGTGATGAGGGGAGTCCGCAATCGGAATTTGTATTATCTGAAGGGAAGCACCGAGATTGGCCAGGTTGCTTCGGCTATTTCAGAAGCGGACATGAGCAGACTTTGGCACTATAGGTTGGGGCACACAGGTAAAAAGTCACTGCAGGCATTGTGCAAGCAGGGGCTATTGAAGGGAGCCAAGAGTGGGAAGATTGAGTTCTGTGAGCACTGTGTTCTTGGCAAGAAGACGAAGGTGAAGTTCGGGACTGCCATTCATCAGACGAGGGGCATCCTGGACTACGTGCACACAGACGTTTGGGGTCCCACCAAGACTGCATCACTTGGTGGTCGACATTGGTTCGTCACTTTTGTAGATGACTATTCTAGGCGTTGTTGGGTGTACACCATGACGAAGAAGAGTGAAGTCCTAGATTTGTTTGTGGAGTGGAAGAAGAGATTGGAACTGCAGACTGGGAGAAAGATCAAGACGTTGCGATCCGACAACGGTGGTGAGTATACTTCTGACCCCTTTCAGCAGCTATGTCGAGACGAGGGCATAGAGAGACACTTCACAGTTAGTCATACACCGCAGCAAAATGGGGTGGCAGAGAGGTTGAATCGGTCTTTACTGGAGAAGATCCGATGCTTATTGTCGCAGAGTGGTTTGGAGAAGATCTTTTGGGCTGAGGCACTTACATATGCGAGCCACCTCATTAATAGGCTGCCTTCATCTGCGATTGAGGGGAAAACCCCTATGGAGATGTGGTCGGGAAAGCCAGCACATGACTATGACCAGCTCAAGGTATTCGGGTGCCCTGCATATTATCATGTTAGAACTGATAAATTGGAACCTCGAGCTAGGAAGGCCATATTTGTAGGATTCAAGCGTGGTGTCAAGGGATACAAGCTTTGGGATCCAGTTGATAAAAAGATTGTTCTGAGTAGGGACGTCACATTTGATGAGGCTTCTATCTTGAAGCTTCCCAGCTCTCATCAGGTGGAGAGCGACCCGACGGAGGAGATATCGCAGGTGGTGGAGATCGATGCAGCTCCACATTGTCCAGATGGTACAGTATCCATGCAGGTGCCGACTGAGGTGACGCCAGGCGAGCACGACGATGACACGGAGGATACGAGTACAAATGTGCAGGATCAGGAACCGACGGCTCAGGTTCAGGATTCTATTGCGGCTAGGAGACAGAGGAGAAACATACAGATGCCAGCACGGTATGCCGACACAGTTGCGTATGCACTTCCGGTGGAGAGTATCGATGAGTTAGTGCCTACTACATTCAGAGAGGCCGAGCAAAGTTCGGATGCCAGCACGGTATGCCGACACAATTACGTATACACTTCCGGTGGAAAGTATCGATGAGATGATATCTACTACATTCAGAGAGGCCGAGCAGAGTTCGGAGGCTGATTCGTGGCAGGGGGCTATGCAGGAGGAGATGAAATCTCTTCATAAGAACGATACATGGGAGCTTGTTGAGCTTCCAAAGGGGCGGAAGGCAATTGGTTGCAAGTGGGTATACACGAAAAAGGAGGGCATTGAGGGCACTCCATTGAGGTTCAAAGCTAGGTTGGTTGCGAAGGGCTATGCACAGGAGGAAGGTATTGACTATAATGAGGTTTTCTCTCCGGTGGTGAAGCATTCTTCGATTCGGATTTTGCTAGCTTTGGTGGCACAGTATGGTTTGGAGTTAGATCAGTTGGATGTGAAGACGATATTTCTTCATGGTGATCTTGATGAAGAAATATATATGACTCAGCCATTGGGATTCCGAGCTGCAGGGAAAGATAAGTTGGTTTGCAGATTAAAGAAATCGCTATACGGTTTGAAGCAGTCTCCTCGACAGTGGTATAGGTGATTCGATGGTTTTATGATTGGTCATTCGTACACTCGGAGCCAGTTTGATCCTTGCGTATATTTTCACAAGTTGAAAGGAGGTACGTACATTTATTTGTTGCTCTATGTCGATGACATGTTAGTTGCCTCTACTTCCAGATCGGCTATAGATGAATTAAAAGTTCAGCTTTCAAATGAGTTTGAGATGAAGGACTTGGGTGAGGCGAAGTGCATTCTAGGGATGGAGATCGGCAGAGACAAAAAGAAGGGTAGAATTTGTTTGACACAAGTGGCTTATTTGAAGAAGGTTCTACAGCGATTCCATGTTAGCATGGATACGAAGCCAGTTAGTGTACCATTGGGAGCCCATTTGAAGCTTTCAGCTGGTCTTTCACCAAAGTCAGTTGAAGATCGAGAGTTGATGTCGAAGACTCCATATGCGAGCGCGGTTGGGAGCTTGATGTATGCAATGGTATGTACGAGGCCAGATTTGTCACAGGCGGTGAGCATGGTTTCGAGATACATGCACGATCCAGGAGTGGGTCATTGGGACGCCGTGAAATGGATTTTGAGGTACATTCGAGGTACGCTCAATGTTGGTTTAGTTTATGAGAGGGACACTACAGGTGGGCAGCTATGCATTGGCTATGTTGATTCGGATTATGCCGGGGATTTGGATAAGCGCCGATCTACAACGGGGTATGTGTTCACCTTGACCCGTGCGCCGGTGTGTTGGAGATGCACCTTACAGTCGACGGTGGCTTTGTCTACGACGGAGGCAGAGTATATGGCAGTTACGGAGGCTGTGAAGGAGGCTATTTGGCTTCGAGGACTTTTGGAGGAACTTGGTATATCGCAGAGGTCCGTCACTATTCATTG